CCTTACCCAGGTCTAGTCTTGAAGGAGCCTCTTCCTCCCAGTAGGTCAGAGCACTACGATTCTGAGGATACTTGTGCTTCCTGGCATAACACAATACTCTAACTATCAGTTTGATAGGATTCTTGATAAGTGATATGTTCTCCAGTTTGTGTTTGAAGAATGAATGAGACACCAGTACAAGAGATGCTGATACACCTGATGCTATAAAAGCTCCCAAAATAAAAAATGTACCATTGAAATTACATTGGAAGAAGTACAAAAGTACTAGTGTGATTTGCTCCATACCTGTGTGCCAGTATATGACAGAATTGAGTTCATCAGCTGAAGCTCCAACAAGTTGATCAATGCTATACTGAATAATGTTAGCAGTGAAACAAGCATATCCTGGACATTCAAGAATATAAACTACACTATAAGCAACCCTCAGTATTGTGATGTAACTGTAGTATTCATAAGCCATGAATCCAATTCCTATTATAATCCATGCTATAAAGCACAATACTATACCAATCAGTATAGCTTTGTATCTTCCAATCCATACATCAGCTAACAGACCAAATAAAGGAAAGGACATATAACCAAAACAAATCATAATAGTATACCCATAATTGTACCAAGTAGCTGGAGCAGCATCAATAGAAGAATCACCAATAAAACTACAGAAAAAGAAATACTGACTGTATATGAGGCAATTCCAAATCAGAACCAATGAAGCTGAAGGAGAAATATAGAGAAAACGCTTCATTGAGCTTCTTCCACAACCTTCTTTGTAAAATAAAATTGTAAAGTTTTTGTAACCAATTTTAATGACTTACATGTAAAATGTCTATAAAGTTTCACTGTTTTCGTACCTTTATCTTATCATATCATGTAAGGTTATATATACAGTGTGTCATTTGAAGATAGTTGTTACTGTATAGTTGAGTGGTTATGAAATTCATTTGTTATGCTAAATTCAGTTCACTTTATTTTGAATAATTCATTTAGATCTAATCTACTGCATACACTATGTAAGGGAACCATGTGGACTTCTCTGTAATGTTTACTTTCATTTTCTAAAACAACATGCAAGCATATGGCAAATTTATTTTTATAAAACATGAGTTCATAACCTTGAAACTTATTCTAGCTTACTTTAAAGGTGATTAGATCATTTTTTGTATACGCAACTGTCTCTAATGTTCAAGTGCATTGATTCTAACGTAAACAATTGAAATCATAGTCTAGCTATTAACTAATCCTTCTTTTTATAATTTATACATGCTCTTTTAAATACAAAGGTCCAATCAATCCTGTATGTAATTTATTTGCATTAGTGGTACACTATTGTCAAATAACTGTTTAAACTACAAATTTATCAAAAGCACATAATTATGATTAAATAACCAAAACTGTCTTTATATCTAATTGATTATTATCATTGTTATTTTTTATAAAGTATAATCAAGACTAAAATAGACCTTGCCATACAGGACCAAAATTTAGATAAGGCAAAAGAAACATAAATTAAAAGGAAATAGAGTCAATAAGATAGTCAGTCTATAAGAATTATTATTATTATAGTTCAAAATTTTTAAAAGTAACTTGACAGCTTTAAAAGAGCTGGTTTAGACATACTTAACACTGAACCACTTCTTTACCAGATACCTTAGAAAGAACATTGTAGATGTCTTTTAAAGTTTGTCTTTTAGTTTGCCAGTTGAATACATACATGTAAGTAGCTGCTTCAAATTGAAGAGAATCACTGAGTCTTTGCAGCTACAAATTTCCTTCAAATTAAGACTATCAGAAATAGAGACACAAGATTTATCTAGATGTTCCTTATAGTGTTCAGTGCTTTCTATTAGTCTATAATATCTACTTCCTCAACTACAAACTCTAACATCTACTAATGAACAGCACTCCCCTGCAGCCTTAATATAGAATCATAGTGTTTCAATTGACCTATAAGTTTGACCATGATTTTAGATCAGTCTTGTGTACTCTGACAAGAGTTTTTATGTTGCCAAGCTTAGGAGTGTGTTTCTATGTAGCAACTAGAACTTGATACATCATTCTTGTATAAGATTTCCTTATTGATTCAATTTGTTTAGTGATACTCTTTCCAACTGGAATTTCAACTAGATTTATTACATAAATATTAGGCTAAAAACAATGGCTTACTTGTAAGTGTGATTGCACTGCTGCTTGTACCCTCTATAAAAATGAAAACAAAACATACTTTTAATTAACTTAAGCCCACCTTGTTTTTCATCACTTAAAGTTTATTGACCACTTCATTGTTATAATCTTTAAGTATCTGGTTTCCATTGTATTTATAACAAGGAATTTCATATAGAATAGAAGCAAAAATTTGAAGAGCTTTTTCATCATCTTTCTAATAGCAAATTGTAAATATTAATGTAACCTGTTAGTGATAATAGCTGGTACGTGACAATTATAGTTTCATTATCAACTGTATACTTAAGGGCTGTAGCACTTTCTTTAACAATTTTTTTCTTTTTTCCTCAAACACTACAAACTACATTGATTTAGAATGATAAGCAGAATTATTATGCTGTATGTACTTGTACATGTACATGTATCCAGTGGAGAGGGTGTATCATACTGGTAAGAGGTGATTAGTAATGGCGGCTATGTAAACTTATTCTGGCTGCATCAATTAGCTTTGATGATTTATTCATGTTCAACATGTTTTTATAGTATGACTGTATCTTTATTTCCTTTCTCCTCCCTCCCTTCCTCTCTCTCTCTCTCTTTCTCTTTCTCTCTCCTTTCTTTCATTGCCATATTAAAAAATTTAGAGGTTCTCTCATCATAGTACTATTCTTCAATCCTGTTTCTTTCTCAAAATTTGCTTTTTGGAACTCAGTCATCAACATTTTTAATTGATAAGCTTTTTATGAAGTACTTCTATATTTTAAATTAATGTTATTAGTGATGAAAATAAGCCAAAAATTATGAAAGTACAGTAATTGTCTTTGTTACAATGTACATGTACATAAGAATGTTTTTTGTTTCAACAATGCATGTAGTTTTAACAACTGTGTTCTATTAGTTAGTGGATATCACTGGAGGTGTCACATCACTCTCTTTATCTCTGTTATATTGCTCCTCTTGTTCCATGTATCTCTGATAATGATCATCAACTATCTGAACAATATTAACTTCATTCTCTCTCACACGATACCTGTAACGTTTAGCCAGTATCACAAACACTATCAGTATGATAAGAACTAGTACACTCTTTGTTATATAATAATAGAAACTAGTACATATGTATTGACTCTCACAATCAAATGGAAACTTTGTAATGATGCTGATGAGTTTACCAGCTCCCCATGAAGTGTACCACAATCCAACCATCACTCCTCTCATGTGTACTGGAGACTGAGCTACTGTATAAACTCCAGTGATACTGGATACAGTAGAATAAAAGCTAGACCGTTTAATGTTTGTGGAATGAACAACATCTTATTAACAAACTGATCTTCCATGATAATGTTAATGACAAGTTGAGATACCACAGTAGTTACACAGAAAAAGAGACCAACACTCATTCTAGTCAGCATACTAGGAATGTATTTGTATAAACAAACACGAATGAAGTATAGATACACTAA